TCCTGGCTCCTTTATTTTACCAGTTCCATCTATGTGAAGATAAGTCAAAGGTCCTGCTCGACCATGTCTGGCTTCACTTGGAAGCATGAATGAGATGTTTCCTCTGAGCTGACCCTCCTCTTTGTAGACTGAACATTGGTTCAATTTCATCTCCTGGGGTCTCCTTGGCCTCCCTGAACAGGATGACAGGTGACTCACCACAGTTACAGGACATTTTGAGAGATGTTCCATAGTCCTGGAACTTAGTCGCCCTTGGACTCTGACCAGATTAGTATAGACTTGAAGTATGGCTGTTAAACATCCAATAAGGTTAGTTCCACCAGTCTGGTACTTTTAATTACCATGTGCTATGTAGATACAGCTTGGGTAAAAAATGAAATGTTCTCAGATAAACCTTGATTAGCATCCTAGTTTGTTTCTCCATTGCTATGACAAAACACTCTGACCAATACCAGCTTGGGGAGGAAAGGGTTTATTTGGCTTACATCTCCCGAGTCACAGTTCATCAGGGAGCCCAAGTAGGAACTCAGGGCAGGAACCTGGAGGCAGGAGCTGGAGCACAGGCCATGGAGGATCACTGCTTACTGACTTGCTCCCCTGGCCCCTGCTCAGCCTGCTTTCTTATGCAACATAGGCCCATCTGCCCAGGGGTGGCACCACCCACAGTGGGTTGGGCCTTCCCACATCACTCAACAATCAAGAAGATGCCCCTCAGACATGGCCACAGACCAGTCCAATAGAGGAAATTCCCCAGTTGAGGCTCCCTCAACCCATGTATGTCAAGTTGACACTAAAGCTGTCCAGCACAATTAGATATATATTTGGTTCCTTAAACTAGATGACTAAACTATGACCTTAGAAATTTTACAATTATGCATGTATTATTTTGTCTCATCTTTTATATATCATAACAAACCTACACAAACCTTCATCACTTGCTTAGGCTTTGTCATTTTTTCTATTTTAGAAAATATCTCCATTCCCATATCCTTTTAACATCTTTTACATTCTCATTTTCTTTTTTTAATAATTATGAGACATAATAACATTAACAAATTTTCCATCTGTTGTGAGAGACCGTGTGTGATTAGGGCCAAATTACATACAGTTGGCTGGGAAGAGTGGCTGGATACTCTGGTGAGGGTCCAAAGACTCTGCAGCCCCTCTGTTAATGAAGGAGCACAACTGTCAACAAGCCCAGTTGTGATGATTTTTAGCGATCAGGTACTGCTGAAGTCATATGATGGTAGTTATTTCGTGTAGAAGGGACTGCTGTACAGCATCATCTTATTAAAAGGACATGGAATTTAAAAGGATTTGGTGCTAGGATCCACATATGAGGGAGAACATATGTTCTTTGTTTTTTTACCTGCAAATTTCATTATTTCATCTTTCTTTACTGCTGGTTAGAACTCCATTGTGTAAATATATCACATTTTTGTTAACCACTCGTCAGTTGAGGGACACTTAGGTTGCTTCCCTCATTTAGCTATTGTGAAAAGAGCAGCAACAAACATGGTTGTACAAGTGTCTCTACAATAGGACGAGTCCTTTGGGTATATGCCAAGGAGTGGTATAACTGGGTCATATGGTAGGTTCATTTTTAGTTTAAGAGTTCTCCACATTGTTTTCCATGGAGGTCACACGGGTTTGCAATCCCACCAGCAGTGAATGAGGGTTC